TGATTTTAAAAAATAAATACATTTTTAAAAACAATTTCAAACAAACAAATTATTTAAATGTTCTTCTATTCTTTGACATCAATTTAATTACAATTTTTTTTTCTTCTTCTGAAAAATTAAACTTTAAAGACCGTCTTTATTTCAAAATGGGTTCTTCAAGTTATAAATAAACATTCGTAAGAAACAAAAATTTAAAACACCCCACAGTTTATAACTCTCGTTCCACGGTAAATTCTTAAAGTAAGACGCTGAATCTACCTTTAAGCAACAACAACAACAAAAACTGCCATCAAATTAAACCCAACCAGCCAACCTGTCATTTATATTATTAAACAACAGCCAAAAACAAATATTCGCACAACACACAATACAAATAACACCCAATTCAACCCCCCAAAATCCCCAAACCAGGTACAAAGAACATACACACACGAATATAGAGTAAACCCAGCAAGGATAATGTTAATAAACAGACAATTCGAACAGCAGCAGCAACAACAACAATAAGAAGAACAAAACGAAAACTTCACCAACAACATCGTCATCAACATGACAGTCCAAAAAACAGAAGAAGAAATATTTGATAAAGAATAATTCATGTTGAGATTTCATAGCAGACAGACAGACATACATACATAAATACAAAAACAAAACAATAACAACAATAGCAGCAGAAGCAGCAGCAATAACTTTAAGATGTTTGTGAATAGTACGTGTGTGTGTTTGTTTGCTTTTTAAGATTTTGAACTGAAAACAGATAAACAACAACAACAAAAAAGAAAACAATTGAGAAAGTTGTAACAGAAGAAACGGAAGAAGAGGACACAAGTGGGTGATGAAGAAGGCCATTATAAAGAAAGAGAAAAAGGACTTTAAAAAGTTAATAGTGAAATAAAATAATATAAAAATAAGAAAAACAAAAATATAGATAAAAGGAGGATTCAAAGTTAAAGTGTTTTTATTAAAGGATGCTAATGGAGTTTGGGTTTAAATTTATATTGTAGTTGTTGCTGTTTTTTGTTTTTTTTGTTATTTGCTGATTCTCCCTTTCATATAAAATTTAATATACTATATTTATGTACATATGTATGTTTGTGTGTGCAGTGAATAAAATAGCAAAAACAACATTAAATAAAATTCACAGTTATACACACCTATTTGACAACAACAGCAACAAAAAACAAAAGCAGAGATGAAAATTTTAGTACTATTTACTTTATTTACATTAATATTATTTAATAAAAAGTTTTTTTTCCAAAAGTGAAAAGTTTTTCTAAATATATTTAATTGTGAATAAAGACTTTAACAACTTTTCTATTAAAAGTTTAACTTTTTGAAAACAGTACTAGTCTGTAGCCTAGTCTATAGGCTAGTCTATAGGCTAGTCTATAGGCTAGTCTATAGGCTAGTCTATAGGCTAGTCTATAGGCTAGTCTATAGGCTAATCTATAGGCTAGTCTATAGGCTAATCTATAGTCTAGTCTATAGGCTAATCTATAGGCTAGTCTATAGGCTAATCTATAGTCTAGTCTATAGGCTAGTCTATAGTCTAGTCTATAGTTAGGCTATAATTTAGTCTATAGTCTCGTCTATAGTTTAGTCTATAGTCTCGTCTATAGTCTAGTCTAGTCTATAGTCTAGTCTATAGTCTAGTCTATAGTCTAGTCTATAGTCTAGTCTATAGTCTAGTCTATAGTCTAGTCTATAGTCTAGTCTATAGTCTAGTCTATAGTCTAGTCTATAGTCTAGTCTATAGTCTAGTCTATAGTCTAGTCTATAGTCTAGTCTATAGTCTAGTCTATAGTCTAGTCTATAGTCTAGTCTATAGTCTAGTCTATAGTCTAGTCTATAGTCTAGTCTATAGTCTAGTCTATAGTCTAGTCTATAGTCTAGTCTATAGTCTAGTCTATAGTCTAGTCTATAGTCTAGTCTATAGTCTAGTCTATAGTCTAGTCTATAGTCTAGTCTATAGTAGTCTATAGTCTAGTCTATAGTCTAGTCTATAGTCTAGTCTATAGTCTAGTCTATAGTCTAGTCTATAGTCTAGTCTAGTCTAGTCTATAGTCTAGTCTATAGTCTAGTCTAGTCTATATTCTAGTCTATAGTCTAGTCTATAGTCTAGTCTATAGTCTAGTCTATAGTCTAGTCTAGTCTATAGTCTAGTCTATAGTCTAGTCTATAGTCTAGTCTATAGTCTAGTCTATAGTCTAGTCTATAGTCTAGTCTATAGTCTAGTCTATAGTCTAGTCTATAGTCTAGTCTATAGTCTAGTCTATAGTCTAGTCTATAGTCTAGTCTATAGTCTAGTCTATAGTCTAGTCTATAGTCTAGTCTATAGTCTAGTCTATAGTCTAGTCTATAGTCTAGTCTATAGTCTAGTCTATAGTCTAGTCTATAGTCTAGTCTATAGTCTAGTCTATAGTCTAGTCTATAGTCTAGTCTATAGTCTAGTCTATAGTCTAGTCTATAGTCTAGTCTATAGTCTAGTCTATAGTCTAGTCTATAGTCTAGTCTATAGTCTAGTCTATGTCTAGTCTATAGTCTAGTCTATAGTCTAGTCTATAGTCTAGTCTATAGTCTAGTCTATAGTCTAGTCTATAGTCTAGTCTATAGTCTAGTCTATAGTCTAGTCTATAGTCTAGTCTATAGTCTAGTCTATAGTCTAGTCTATAGTCTAGTCTATAGTCTAGTCTATAGTCTAGTCTATAGTCTAGTCTATAGTCTAGTCTATAGTCTAGTCTATAGTCTAGTCTATAGTCTAGTCTATAGTCTAGTCTATAGTCTAGTCTATAGTCTAGTCTATAGTCTAGTCTATAGTCTAGTCTATAGTCTAGTCTATAGTCTAGTCTATAGTCTAGTCTATAGTCTAGTCTATAGTCTAGTCTATAGTCTAGTCTATAGTCTAGTCTATAGTCTAGTCTATAGTCTAGTCTATAGTCTAGTCTATAGTCTAGTCTATAGTCTAGTCTATAGTCTAGTCTATAGTCTAGTCTATAGTCTAGTCTATAGTCTAGTCTATAGTCTGTATAGTCTAGTCTATAGTCTAGTCTATAGTCTAGTCTATAGTCTAGTCTATAGTCTAGTCTATAGTCTAGTCTATAGTCTAGTCTTAGTCTAGTCTATAGTCTAGTCTATAGTCTAGTCTATAGTCTAGTCTATAGTCTAGTCTATAGTCTAGTCTATAGTCTAGTCTATAGTCTAGTCTATAGTCTAGTCTATAGTCTAGTCTATAGTCTAGTCTATAGTCTAGTCTATAGTCTAGTCTATAGTCTAGTCTATAGTTGTCTATAGTCTAGTCTATAGTCTAGTCTATAGTCTAGTCTATAGTCTATAGTCTAGTCTATAGTCTAGTCTATAGTCTGGTCTATAGTCTAGTCTATAGTCAAGTCTATAGTCTAGTCTATAGTCTAGTCTATAGCCTAGTCTATAGTCTAGTCTATAGTCTAGTCTATAGTCTAGTCTATAGTCTAGTTTATAGTCTAGTCTATAGTCTAGTTTATAGTCTAGTCTATAGTCTAGTCTATAGTCTAGTCTATAGTCTAGTTTATAGTCTAGTCTATAGTCTAGTTATAGTCTAGTCTATAGTCTAGTCTATAGTCTAGTCTATAGTCTAGTCTATAGTCTAGTCTATAGTCTAGTCTATAGTCTAGTCTATAGTCTAGTCTATAGTCTAGTCTATAGTCTAGTCTATAGTCTAGTCTATAGTCTAGTCTATAGTCTAGTCTATAGTCTAGTCTATAGTCTAGTCTATAGTCTAGTCTAGTCCTTAGTCTTGTCTATAGTCTAGTCTATAGTCTAGTCTAGTCCTTAGTCTTGTCTATAGTCTAGTCTATAGTCTAGTCTATAGTCTAGTCTATAGTCTAGTCTATAGTCTAATCCTTAGTCTTGTTTATAGTCTTGTCTATAGTCTAGTCTATATTCTAGTTCTAGTTTTGTTCTAGTTTTGAGTATAAAAAGCTTATTTTCACTTAACACCTGTCGATCCAAACAAACGGTTTTGAAATAGTGGTCCGTGAACCCCTAGGAGAACATTGCAATATTACAGAAGGTCCGAAATAAAATAAAGCATAAAACTCTTTGAAAATATTAATAAATTTGGCTTCTTAATCGTATAGAAGAAGCTTAAAACAGGTACAAGTTTCACTTAATTCACGTTTTAAAGAAACTAATACAAAACATTACTATTCTTTTGAAAAAGTATTTCCGCACTATTTGTAGAATATAATAAGAAAGTTTAAATGTAAACAACTCCTAAATTTTAAAAGGAAAAAGTACTATTTTAAAACAATATAAGTACAATTTGTTATAATTCGCTCCTAAAAAGAAACGTACTAATAAACGATTGAATGAAAATACGAGAAAAACAAAACAAAAATATTTATCAAATATTTTTTTGTTTAAATTCCTGGGAAAAATAAATAAATTTTAGGCTTTTATTTAAAATTAATGCAAAATTTTGATATATAATATTCAAACATAATAATATTCGAAATTATTTTTTTATATAAAATTTCTAATAAAAATATTTATTTTTAAAAACATTTGAAAGATATTTCCTTTTGCTTTGCAGACGAATTTTCTTGAAGTTCAAAAAAGAAAACATTTCTTTCTTCTTTTTTTCTTTTTTGTTTTGCTATTTTCAATAAATTGTTTAAATTACAAATAAATTTTGTATTTTTATTAGCAAAATTTGCAAAAGGTAAATATTATTTATTAACTTTGCCATAAACTTAATAATTAATTGTTGTTTTTCGATTTATTTTGTTGGTTTTATTATTTTATTAACTTTTAAATAAACTTTTTTGTTAATATTTTAATATTTTGTGATTTCTGTTAAAAATCGATGTTGTTTTCTTTAAATTGTTTAAAAATTTTAAACACTTTTTTCACTTATTTATTGTAGTTATGTTATGTGCGTGTATATTAAATAAGTATATATACACATAATTTTTGATATTATTTTTTTTCATACTTTTTCTATATATATTAAATATTATTACCATTTTTATATACATATATACATGGTTGTATGTATTTGTATATACATTTTATTTAAAACTTAAAAAACACATTCTTTTTTTACAATTTCTCTGCTGATTTTTCACTTTATTTGAAGGGTTTTTTTTTCTGCTTTAACAACAATATTAATAATTCTATTTTAAAAATTAACTTTGTTTTTCTTCAAATATTTCTTATATTTTTTTATCGTATAGAAAAATTTCTTAACTTGAATATGTTTTTTTTTTTTTTTTGTTGGTTTGGTAGTGTATATCTATATGTATGTAAAGTGTAGAAAAAAAAATATATATTATGTTTTAAAAAAACGCGCGCCCCGTTTTATTTTAGTAGAGTAGTATTTGAACGTTTAGCGTTTGTATGCGAACTATTTTGGCCAATATCGTACGGATGCTGAGGATGCTGTTGATGGTTGAAAAACAAATTTTTCCTTCTCAGCAGAAAAGAAAATTCATTGCTCTCATTTTCATTTTCACATTCTCGTGTTTCTCATCTGTCACTTCGTTCGTCCGTCTATCTATCCCATTTGTGTGTGAGTGTGTATGTGGGGGGAAATTTGTTTAATTTTTCTTTTTATTTGACTTTTCCACATGGGGCTGTCAAATATTTGTTGACGTTTGCTTTGCTCTGTTGTTATTTTTGCTGTTGCTGCTGCTCATATTTACATCTCAAGAATCAAGAGAGTAAATATAATTTTTCATTGAGCAACGAGTAAATTCTTATCGGTTGTTTTAATGTGTACGCATTTTCCCACAAAATCCAATAGTATTATAATTTTAGTAGGATTCTGTTTAATTTTCTAATTGGATAAACGAAACACCTGAATTTTGTAAATGTGTGTGAAGATTTGAAAAGTAACGGATAGTGTAGACGGTTGCCATATTATATTTTGAATGAGTAATTTTAACTAAGCCCAATAAATTCCATGAAAGATATAATTTTGTATTGAAACGCGAATTGTGAAATCATGTTGACCATTGAAACTAAGAAGCATAAGCAGCACGTATACGATATTTGATCAAATTTTGAAGTGTGTCCTACAGCTGAAAAGCCTCAACGTAATCCTCTGTAGATTAGTTGGTAGTATTCTAGTCTGTAACTAATTAACAAACGAAGTAAACAAAGAAAAGAACGAAAACGAAAACGAACTAACTAAACTAACTAACTATACTAACTAACTAACTAACTAACTAACTAACTAACTAACTAACTAACTAACTAACTAACTAACTAAAACTACTAACTAACTAACTAACTACTAACAACTAACTAACTAACTAACTAACTACTAACGAACTAACTACTAACTAACTAACTAACTAACTAACTAACTAACTAACTAACTACTAACACTAACTAACTAACTAACTAACGAACTAACTAACTAACTAACTAACTAACTAACTAACTAACTAACTAACTAACTAACTAACTAACTAACTAACTAACTAACTAACTAACTAACTAACTAACTAACTAACTAACTAACTAACTAACTAACTAACTAACTAACTAACTAACTAACTAACTAACTAACTAACTAACTAACGAACTAACTAACTAACTAACTAACTAACTAACTAACTAACTAACTAACTAACTACTAACTAACTAACAACTAACTAACTAACTAACTAACTAACTAACTAACTAACTAACTACTAACTAACTACTAACTAACTAACTAACTAACTAACTAACTAACTAACTAACTAACTAACTAACTAACTAACTAACTAACTAACTAACTAACTAACTAACTAACTAACTAACTAACTAACTAACTAACTAACTAACTAACTAACTAACTAACTACTAACTAACTAACTAACTAACTAACTAACTAACTAACTAACTAACTAACTAACTAACTAACTAACTAACTAACTAACTAACTAACTAACTAACTAACTAACTAACTAACTACCTAACTAACTAACTAACTAACTAACTAACTAACTAACTAACTAACTAACTAACTACTAACTAACTAACTAACTAACTAACTACTAACTAACTAACTAACTAACTACTAACTAACTAACTAACTACAACTACTAACTACTAACTAACTAACTAACTACTAACTACTAAACTAACTAACTAACTAACTAACTAACTAACTAACTAACTAACTAACTACCTAACTAACTAACTAACTAACTACTAACTAACTAACTAACTAACTAACTAACTAACTCCTAACTAACTAACTAACTAACACTACTAACTACTAACTAACTAACTAACTACTACTAACTAACTAACTAACTAACTAACTACTACTAACTACTAACTAACTACTAACTACTAACTAACTAACTAACTAACTAACTAACTAACTAAATAACTAACTAACTACTAACTAACTAACTAACTAAAACTAACTACTCCTAACTAACTAACTAACTACTAACTAACTACGAACTAACTAACTAACTACTAACTAACTAACTAACTAACTAACTAACTAACTAACTAACTAACTAACTAACTAACTAACTAACTAACTAACTAACGAACTAACTAACTAACTAACTAACTAACTAACTAACTAACTAACTAACTAACTAACTAACTAACTAACTAACTAACTAACTAACTAACTAACTAACTAACTAACTAACTAACTAACTAACTAACTAACTAACTAACTAACTAACTAACTAACTAACTACTAACTAACGAACTAACTAACTAAATAACTAACTAACTAACTAACTACTAACTAACTAACGAACTAACTAACTAACTAACTAACTAACTAACTAACTAAACTAACTAACTACCTAACTAAACTAACTAACTAACTAACTAACTAACTAACTAACTAACTAACTTAACGAACTAACTAACCAAACTAACTAACTAACTAACTAACTAACTACTAACTAACTAACTAACTAACTAACTAACTAACTAACTAACTAACTAACTAACTAACTAACTAACTACTAACTAACTAACCAACTAACTAACTAACTTATTAAAGTAGCACTAAGTTAAATTAGCGAAGCTAAAATACTGGAACATAGTCTATATTATACTCTACACTATAGTCTAGACATTTCCCTTATTAATGTTAATATTACTTAAGTCAAATTTGTTGTATTCTAAACGAACATAAAAATTACTTCTTCAGAATGACTTCAGAGGTAGTGAATTTGGAATCAAATAAAAAGGACATCCCTCCTTTCACAAGCTTGTGTTAAATTCATCACTTTTGCAGGTCTCTTTCAATAAAGTATATTCTACTTCTTTTTCGTTTCTTTGGAAGTTCTTATTTTGATGTGGACAGTAATCTTCAAATCAACACTTCTTAAAGGCTTTCAACTAATATCGAAAGAAATTAGTTGGAATGAATGAAAATCTCTCACAAAATCTGTAAATAATAATATTTATGTGTAAAAAATATATTGATAAACAATATTTTCAACTCAAACACGTGCTGTGTACAAGTTATGCCACAGCATTCCGATTAATTAAATAGGTCGTTATCAGTATTTCCCTGTCAAAAGTTTTCAAATTATAAATATCAATATAATAAGTACTTATTTCATAATTAGTATACAACTTTTGCAAACTAAATTTAGAATAATTCTCACATAATAGGTACATAATAACACAACAAAAACAATATCGTAAAACTTTAATAGTTGGCTTCATGAGCATTTTTGCTTTGCTGGAAGGTTCAAGGTAAACAATTTTTTATAGAAATTTATTTATAGATCTTATTCAAAATTATATTTTCTTCTTCTTTTAGCATTTTGACTTTTGTCTTTAACTATATTGGCCCAATATTATTGGGTAAACAATGTTGATCTAAGGATATATAAAATTTGTATATGGACTAGTCTATTGACTATGTTATGGCCAATTTGTGAACAAAATACTCTCTTGATTAGTCTAGTGACTTTTGCATTTCTATGTATATTCTTTGGACTCGTCCACTGACTAGAATGTGGGATAGTCTGTTAACTAGTATATGGTCTAGTCTATAGGTGAGTCTGTGGACTAGTAGGTAGACTTCATTTGCAATACTATTTAAGTGGACTAATTATCAATAGTTTATAACATAAAAAAAATCGCTTAATGGTATTCTAAACTATGTATATCATCGGTGAACGGTAGTTTGTTTACGGAATATACCATATAATTTATCGTTATTAGAACGACCCACTTAAGCAATAATACGCTACATGGTCCACCCATACCATAGAAGTCGTAAGATATTCAATTATGGAAAACTTAAATATCAAATTCTCTAACCCATTTACAAAATGTTAATCTATATTTGAGTCCGTCAGATATATGAAATCTTCAAAAAGTTGATATCAACCGAATGGGGGCGTTAAGTCAATTTCAAAATCTTATAAGCCCCGTATCAAATACTTCAAACGGTTGATTTATATTTGAGTCCGTTCGATATATGGGACGTTCGAAATGTCAAATACAAAAGACAGAAGAATTGGTTAAATCAGTATCATTATCCGTTACGATTCAGAATGTAAATATTCCGATTTCATGGAAAATATAAACGTAGTAACAATTTAAGTAAATTTTTGGCTTCCATCTTAATTAAAACTTACAGATAATAGTTCAGTTTGGGGTTTCCAAGGAACTATGTAAAATAGAAACTACTTTCAATGTCAAAAGAATATAAGGAATTTGCGGTTAAGAAAATTCTATGATTCAGTTACTATTATAATTCCAAAATATACTGCAAAACAATACAGTATCTAAGTTTATTAAACCCGGAAAGATTATACCATAGTTGTTAGTTCAAAATGGGTTAACTTGTTTTTAAAGAAATTTCCATGTTTGAAACATATTTTTCGAAATCACTTGTCAACAAAATCCAAAAATAATTTAATTCTGTCTTATAAATAACCATATTCATTAATATGTATGTATGTCTCATTAATAATAATAAAATATGTATGTATGTATGTTTTAAAATTATAATTTCATTCATCTAAAACAAGTACCCATCCCACTCTCTTTCTGTTCCAACTTATCACGTGAACAAAAACAGCAATTTT